TCGGAAAGAATAAACCAGTTTTATTAAGTAAAGACTTGTGACGTTAAAGTTTCGTTGGAACGAAGTTACGGAAAAATCAATTAACAAATGGAGACGTAACAATATTATTGATGATCTACAAATGCACTAAACATCAAACCTAATTGAGCAATGATCATTTGAAATTAGAAGCTTCCCAATCTTCACCACTTCTGTATTAGAAATTATCAATAAATCTAAAATAGTAAGTATCTCTCCTACTAGGTTCCCTGACCAAATGATGAATAAAACCATCCTGCAAGTTTCATCTTGCAGTCTGTGACAAATTCTAACTTAAAGTCTTCTATGCTGATAACCACTAACAGAAGCCCTTGCTATTCTCAAAATCTTCCATTCTGATAAGTGTTTTAAATTAATCTATTTTATATTTGTTGCATTACAAAAGTAACAATTTAGCCTACCATTAAACATTATCCTCTATTTTGTTTATGTACTATGCTTTTTCTATCTATTCTTCTTTCTGAATTTAGTTTATCCTAACCCTCACCATTATCTAGTCCTAGTTTAAAGCTATCCTTAAATCTGAGTTAATAGCTCTTGCAAATAAGCCAGCCTTGGGCCACTTTAAGCATAATCTACCCATTCCAAAAAGCTTCCTTTTCTCATCAAAATGATCCCATAAGTCCAATTAATCAATATTCTGATACTTAGATATTGATTAAGCCTACCATTCAGCCATAGACCTACTTAGAACCTCACAATATCCCTAATAGAATTATGTTATGGCCATTTTCTTTAAATGTATTTATCAACCCTTATACTCATTAATTATCTCCTTTCATCCACCCTTTTCTACATCATTAGTTCCTAAGTTTACGACAAAAACTGCATCACTGCTGGCAACCTTTATTATCTCATTTGCTCTATCAGTTAAGACCTTTACCTCTCTCCCTGGATAGCAAAATCTTATTTTTTATCCTACACTATTTCATCCACATATCTTACCATCAAGTTGTCTACAACAATGACCTCTTTAAACTTGACATTGTTATCCCTTCTTGTTCCAGCTGTTTCCCTTTTCTGCTTCATCTCCCCTTCTTTACTAGCTAATATCTGAAAATTATTACTTAATAAAACATTCTCCCTAAACCTAAATGTTTTATTATCAAAACTTCTTACACCATAACTCATTTTATCTTCCTAAGATCCCTGCTTTTCTTCTGAAGGCTCAAGTTCTTCTCTAAGACCTGTTTGCCATTTCCAACAATTTGCATTTATTTTTCTCAACAATTCTAATAAACACAGCCTCTAATTTTTTTCAATCTAAAAGACCTCCAAACAAATTACACATCCTAACTCCATGCCTCATAAATGGGGAACATGATACAAACATCTTGCAAAAGTGCATGGACTAATATACATTTTGACTCCATAATTTTTTATATTTGTTCAATTTAGTTACTTTTTTAAAAAAAATCACATTTTGCACACATTAGAAATTGCAAGTTCTTACTGTATAATTCATCAAAAAAGCATTGTTATGGTGTTGATTTCACTTTTGTCAGTTCAGAATATGAAATAAGGATTTCCTTTTAATATCTGTACTAGAGGTTTGCAATAGTATTTTATGTAGTTAATTAACCCCTCATCCATATAACAGTTTATTACTTAAAATATTGCAAAAATCAGATATTTTTACATTATGTTACGACAGCAGAAGTCACGCAACGCTGGGAGCATGCACACTGAAGTTTCTCGAAGGATCATGAATTTTCCTGGCAACTCTGGTTTGTTCCACGCACCTCTTTTTTAGTATATAAGCCCAGCATATAAAGCCGGCGAAAAAGATAGAATTGCATAGATAGACAGATAATTGAATCAAGTGAACTGTAAGCACCGTAAGAGTAAAGTGTGTGAATTGATTTAAATTATAGCGTATGTTTATAAAAGTAGTTAAATCAAAGTGACTGTGGAAATTCTGTATATTACAAAGTTGTATCGAGAAAGAATAAACTAGTTTTATTTAAGAAAGGGCTTGTATCGCTGAAGTTCTTGGAAAGAATTTATACCGGAAATTAACAAACGAATAGAGACTTGGGAAGGTAAAGAAAAAAAAAGATGGAAACGAGAAGTGGCAAATCAAACTACAGCTTAGCAGATTTGATGGCAGAAATACAAGAACAGCAAAAGAAACAAGAAGAATGAGAAAATAAACAAGAAGAGAGATTACAGGAGTTGTTGGAGGAAAAAGAAAAAAACAAGTAGAACAAGAAAAGAAACAAGAGAGGCTACAGCAGTGGTTGGAGGAGAAAGAAAATAAACAATAAGAAAGTCTCCAACAATTGAGAGAAAGCCAGCACACACAAATGGGAAAGATTAATAAATTTGAAAGTAAATTAAATACATTAAAAGACGATTTACTCTCCTTTACACAGGGAGGTTATATTAACCCTGGACCTAATCAGCCTCAGACAATGGGAAGCCCCTTCCAGACCTCACAGCTAAATCCTAATGTAGATATCTTCAGTCCTGCCAGAAGTCACGTTCCAGACATGAGTGTCAGCAATAGGGGTGATCTAGTATGAAGGAAGCCACAGGAATTTGATGGGAAGGCACCATGGGAAGCATACAGAGCACAATTTGAGCTACTGGCAGAAATGAATGGATGGACAGAGGAGCAGAAAGCAGTGTACCTGGCAATGAACCTAAAGGGACAACCACTGGAAATACTTGGACAGTTGTCAGCAGACGACAGGCACAAATATAGAGCACTGGTAGCTGCTCTAGAACTCAGGTATGGAACTCAAAATCAGTCCGAAGCCTACAGGGCTAGGTTTAGGATGAGAGTCCGTGCTAAAGGGGAGAGCCTGCAAGAGCTGGCACAGGACTTGGAAAGCATGGCACACAAGACCTACCCAACTGCACCACCCGATCTCCTCAAGTTGTTGCTGAGGGATCAGTTCGTAGATGCCTTGGACAGTCCATAACTAAAGATACAAGTAAAGCAAGCACACCTCTCTACTATGCAGAATGCAATGGCCAGAGCTCTTGAATATGAATCCTACGTTAAGTCCAGCACAGAGGTACCAAGGTTGGTACAGTCATCAGGATTCAAGGCCAGAGAAGGTCAGCTTTCAGAGAGGTTTGAGGGACTTTGCTGGCACTGTAACAAACCTGGGCACAAGAGAGCTCAATGCTGGCAACTTCAAGATGCCATGGCAGGAAAGGCTGCTACCCAGAAAGATTGTTGAAACTGTGAAGATCAAGGACATATGAGGAGAATGCACCAGTAAGTTAGCCTCAGGGAAACCAGTAGTGGTTAGTGTTGAGGGATGCCCACCAACCCCCATCGTGAAAGTCCCAACAGCTAAGTGTAAAATGGCAAACACACATAGTGTCTAAGTGACAGGAAAGCTGGATGGCCAAAAGTGCAATTTTG